CGACCGCATCCCTCAGGAAGCCCTGTGCGGGGCACTCCGGGAGTATGGGGTACCAGGCCCTCTGATAAGGCTGTTAGGTCTGCAGTGAGTCAGGCTCGTTCCCAATGAAAGTTGGACTCTGCCAAGGCTGCCCCTTGTCACTGATTCTGTTCATAACTTTTATGGACAGGATTTCTAGGTGCAGCCAACATGTTGAGGGAATCCATTTTGGTGGCCTGAGGATCAAGTCTCTGCTTTTTGCAGATGATGTGGTTCTGTTGGCTTCATCAGAGCGTAATCTTCGGCTTTCACTGGAGCGGTTCGCAGCTGATTGTGAAGCAGCTGGGATGAGAATCAGTTCTGCTAAATTTGAGACCATGACATCTTTTGAACGTTCTTGCTGTGCTTATCTTCAAATTCCATTTTTGGTTCTTTTTTAAACACAGACAAGGTTTTTCTTTACCTTGCTGACGTTTCGTTTGCGGCTGCAAACATCCTCAGAGCTGACTCTGATGGTGGCGCCACTTCGAAAGAACAGAAGAAAAGATGGATAAAGGAAGCTATAGAGATAAGGAGACGTGGATGTGGGACCATGAACAGAGACGATGGAGTTTAATTATTGGATTGTGCATGGGACTGCATCATTGGAGAGGGGAGAGCGGGCAGCAGAGAGCGACGTCCTCTGCTGCCCGCGGATAAACGGAGTAGGAAGTGACGCCACCATCAACGTCAGCTCTGAAGATGTTTGCAGCTGCAAACGAAACGTCAGTAAGGTAAAGAAAAATCTTATCTGTGTTTAAAAAATAACCAAAAATGGAATTTGAGACCATGATCTTGAGTCGGAAAAGGGAAGAACGCCTTCTTTGTGTCAGCGATGAGGTCCTTCCCCAAGTGGAGGAGATTAAGTATCTTGGGGTCTTGTTTACGAGTAAGGGAAAGCTGGCGCGCGAGATCAATAGGCGGATTGGTGCTGCGTCTGTAGTGATGGGGGCATTGTGCTGGTCTGTTGTGATGAAAAGAGAGCTGAGCCAGAAGGCAAAGCTCTCATTTTACTGGTTGATCTATGTTCCTACCCCCACCTATGTCACAAGCTTTGGGTAGTGACCGAAAGAACGTGATCGCAGATACAAGCGGCCGAAATGAGTTTCCTCTGCAAGGTGTTTGGGCTCTCCCTTAGCGAGGAGGAGCTCGGTCATCTGGGAGGGAATTAGAATAGATATGCTGGTCCTCCACATCGAGAGGAGTTAGTTGAGGTGGCTCGGGCATCTGATTAGGATGCCTACTGGATGACTCCCTGGTGAGTTTTCCGGGCACGTCCAACCAGGAGACCCAGGACACATTAGAGGGACTATGTCTCTCGCCTGGCCGGGGAACACCTTGGGATTCCCTGGGAGAACTGGCTTAAGTGGCTGGGGAGAGGGAAGTCTGGGCTTCTCAACTTAGGCTGTTGCCCCCGCGACCTGACTCCAGATAAGCAGAAGAGAATGGATGGATGGATGGATGGGGCAGCAGTAGTTCAGGTGGTAGAGCGGGTTGCCTCATGATCGGAGGGTCATGGGTTCGATTCCAGCTCCCGCCAGGGGTATCGTGCTGTTGTGTCCTTGGGCATGACACTTCACTCAACTTGCCTGTGTTAGTGGTGGTCAGAGGGGCCGACGACGCCAAATGGCAGCCTCGCCTCTGTCAGACCCCCCCAGGGCGGCTGTGGCTACAAGTAGCTTACCATCACTAGCAGTGTGTGAATGTGAAAGTGTGTGAAAGCGTCTTTGGGTGTCTAGAAAAGCGCTATATAAGTTAATTGCATTATTATTATTATGTAATAACAGAAATGATCGGTATCGGTTTTTAATGACACAAGTTTTACATACCATGCACATTTTATACATCAAACTCCTCAGCTACTTCTAATTTCACAAAAATTATAAAAATTAGACAGATCTGAGGCATTTTTTTATAGATATTTTAGTTTTTTGTGCACAACTGCCTAATGTAAATTGAAGTAGCTTTTAGCATAGATAATGTCTAAAGTTTGACAATGCATGATAGGAGATATGTAAAGTTAGTTACCTACAATATTTGATTTTATCTTTTTCTTATTATGAGGGGGAACCCCACAAATCTTGGTATTGGCTTATAGTAGTATCAGAAATTAAAAGTTATACTATAGCATTAAATGATAAAAAAGCTGATATCGAACATTTCTAGTTAAATAAACCACCTTTGTAGAAAATGTATGGGATTATTGTCTAAGTCTTTAAAAATGTCTTTTTGTCTGTATTATATTTCTATACCATCATGTTTCCACACAGCTCGCTAGATGGATGGGTAGATCAGGGATAATTAAGATCAGAAATAATGATACACTCCATGCTGCACAGGTTTCTGAAAATAGTTCTGCTCTACTGGCAGCTTGTAGCCAGGAAGGAAAATCAATCGTGATTTCTTCTTCTCCGAGCTCAGCTCTATACATACGTATCACTCCAACATAGACAGCAGAGAAGACTACTGTACAATAACCCAAACAAACAAAAATAAAACATCAGGGCAAAGATTTTCATGATGAGGCAAAAACGGATTTCCTCCTTCACTCAACTTCAACCAGCCAATCAACTAAGCTCGCCCCTCCAGCCACAAAACCTGTCAACTCAAGACGACGCAAAAAAGGCTCAAGATGAGAATCCAAACATCAGCATATCGTGTCACCAATACAAATGAAACGGCCTTCATGAGTCTGGAAAACGTCCGCCTCTGAATCTCCTTTGCTTTTTTGTTGTCCTATGAATAAATTCATATAATCTCATTGTGAGGCGACTGTGAGCATTATTCACTGATGACCTGCATTACTCTTTGAGTGCTTTACACAACTCTCTGGATATTATTTGCCTGGTCACTCCAAACACAGAATCTCCACATTCTAGACACAGAGACACATCCCTGCTTTTCATTTCAGGCCCATAAGCTGATCAAGGGTAAAATAATTGCTCTGGCAGTTTCACTGACAGTCACAGAAGAAGAGTGTGGGAGTACAGACCTGTCTTTTTGACTTGTGTGTTCTGCAGTAATAGCATGGTACACTTTGGGAGCTTAAGTGAACCAGATTCAGAGAGTTATCCCCTTCGATAGTGCTTTGTTCCATCAGCAGGACAGAGTAGGATCTACTACGCTCTGACAGAAAGAGCTGAGGTTGCTCTGCATGGCCAGTCAAGCTGTCGGCAAAGACTAAAAACGAGGCATATGTTCGAAATCTGCAGATGCTAAATTCATTCAAGATGAACAGGCCACAATTTGAACAATGACATAAAAAAAACCTACTTGAAAAACACAAAATAGCCAAAAATGATGAAAATGGCCTGGGTGAATATTGTGAAACTTTATGAATCATTGACCTTTTTCTCCATCTCTTCTGTCACTTAACAAACTTGCTAGCTTTCCATGTGACCAACAGCACGTGTTACAGCCCAGGCTCATGGGAGAAACCAAGCGCCCTTCTTGTGAGCAAACATACGTTGTTGTGCCAGTGCGACCGGCTGATTGGAGCTTTGAATTTTCCTGCCGATGTCCCTCTGCTTCAACATTGGTCTGGCTGTGTTCAACCAGTAACTGCTCTGAGTGGCTGCACCTGTAAGTGCAGCATAAAAGACTGCTTGGTACAACATCAGACCGGATGCGGCTGATCAGAGGGAGCACCTTTGGGAGCGCCTGTCTGTGTGGCATTTTGGTTAGGTCTCTTGAAGGCAGGTTTTAATTAAATACTCTCAAAACTCCTATCAGGTGTCCAGACCTCCTCTTCACATTGCAGTTCCATGAGTTGGGTCGTAACATAAATGGGGGCTCATCCGGGATCATCTAGTGGCCCATTTGATGGAGACTGAACCTGGAATTTTTAACATTTTGAGTTTGTTTTTATAGACAGTGCAGTGGTTGACCTTTTAGCAGCTTTGATGCGTGGCTAGGTGACGAGCTCCATGTTAAAACACAAATGAGCTAAAATGATGAAAAATGGCCTGGGTAAATATTGGGAAACATTATAAAAGACTGACTTTTTTCTCCCTCACTTCTATCACTTTAAAAACTTGTTAGCTTTCCATCTGACCAAGTAGACACTGCACTCTGAAATCCAAAGAAAAGAAGCAGCAGCTGAAAAAAACTGAACAATAACAAAAGGACTTTGTGGCGAGCGTCCTAGAAAAGATAGAGAGTAGGACAAATCCTGCTGCGCATTTTTAAAGCAAGACTAGCTTCTTATCTGCTCCACGGATTGCTTAAAGCAGAAGACCACAGCGTTTGGAGAAATAGTCAGCAAAAAAGAGGAAGGGATGGACATTTAGGATTTATTCCTTGTCGGGCTTTAGTGTTGCATGATTTAATTGGGGCAAACATCTTTTAATGTGATCACCAAAGACTGGACCGAAAAGGCATTAATCACAGCAGGCAAGTAAACAAATACTGTATGAGCAAGAAATTATGGCTGTGAGAACTGAACCTTAATAGGCTGCAAAAGAAGAGCTTATGTACTGACAAAAAAAGGAAAATCTTTTAAGGCTGTGCTAAATGAACCATCAGAGTTTAAAACACTTTAACTGGTTTTGAATGCACATATTTAAACCAATAGCAGCAAAGGCTGCTTTATCTTTATGTTTATTTATTTGGCAGACGCTTCTATCCAAAGCGACTTACGATTTATAACCTATAGAGCATGTTGTGATCTGTGGGGGAAACCGGAGTACCCGGAGGAAACCCACGCATGCATGGGGAGAAAACGCAACTCCACGCAGAAAGGCCGCAGCTGAGTTTCGAACCTGCAACCTTCGTGCTGCGAGGCAACAGTGCTAACAACTGCGCCACCATGCTTTCCCACTAGTTCCTGTCAACACTTAGAAAAATTGAAGCTAGCAAGACTTATTTAGTTTAAAAGCAAACAAAAACAACAACCTTACTATATGATTTTCTGTCTAATGTGCTTGCCTTCACCAACAATAAAATTACTCATTTATTTTTCACAAAGGCAGCTGCCCAATTACCTGTTCTCGTTTCGCTGCGTGTATCTCGGTTGGGGGTCAGCATCTCCATCATTAACATCATAGCTTGCCTCTGGGTCCTAGAGAAAATAGAAAAACACGAAAAAGAATGCCTATCAACTCATTTCAAAACTCTCTCACAGAATTTAATTAACCTTCTTTTCCCCTTTCTGTTTTGATATTTGTCTGAAACTCGCTTGTAAACATAAATACAATTTCGGAGAAAAACTGTATGCTGCACAACATTCACCGCATTCTTCAAGGTTATGTGTTTGATAGAAGACAGAAAACAAAAGAATGGGATAAAATGACTTTTTTGTCGATTTGTTTTGTACAAAGTAAACATCCACGAGAGTATCACTTGCCATGATTCTTACTGTAACGGGTAACACGCTTCAAATGCCAACATTCGATCAATAGGACAAAAACACAAAAATCAATACAAACACTCTATAATTAGAGTGACCTGAAGGGTGTATTACAAAGCAGCTAATCCTTGGCTTAGAGGACTTGACAAAACCTAAATCTCCATTTACGATTAAAAATGGCTAAAAATGGCGGCTTTATTAAAGGAGGTTTTATCACGTCTTTGTCTTTATTTTGAACATGCGTACATACACATAGTAATACACACAACATAAGTAACTTCTCCTTCTCATTTTTTTTTACACATGTTCAAAAGGGAGTAGGAAGAAGCATCAGTTTATTTAATCCCACCCCTTTCTCGACATCAAATAACTAATAGTTATTTAATGTTGTCTGGTAGTTTTTGGTAAATAACGTTGCAACATATTCACACAAATGGCACATGGTTTATCACGATCATATCATACATACAAACATTTTGTGTTTAGGCACACACTTTTGGACCTTCTTTCTTGTATTTGGTAAACATCATGAGTTGAAGCCTTTTTTAAACAGCTAGGTGTTTTATGGTTCTTCGGGATGAAACTCGCCAAATGTCAGACACTCAGCTAAGATGAAAGTAAAACAGAGCTTTGCAAGTGAAAGATTCTGCAGCAAAAAGCAACACTTGGTGCACACAAATCAAACAGTTATTAGTAATTTTATTGCTGTTGGTACAGTATTTAATAAACTATTGCATTTTTAATCAAGACAAGACTGAAATTATTGTCTTTGAAAAAAAAAAGGACAGGATGGGGGTTACTGCTCAACTTGGCTCCAGAGGTATAAAGACAAAGACTCAGGTTAGAAATCTCGGTGTCATAATTGATTCAGACCTGAGCTTCACTGGTCACATTAAGGCTATAACTAGATCAGCGTTTTATCATCTTCATCAAATAGCACGACTCAGAGATCTCATGTCCAGACAAGACCTAGAGAGACTCATTCATGCATTCACCTCCAGCAGGCTGGATAATTGCAGTGGTCTTCTGTGTGGTTTCCCAAAAAAGCTGTGAAGTAACTGCAGCTCATTCAGAATGCTGCTGTTAAGAGTCTTAACTAAAACCAAGAGAACCAAGCACATCACTCCTGTTCTTAAACATTTACAGTGGTTACCAGCAAACTACAAATCATTTTCAAAGTGCTTCTACTAGTTTATAAATCACTCAATGGCACGGGGACATGTTGGATCTGCTTCATGTACGCCCAGCAGGGCTCTGAGATCCTTAGGAAACAGTCAGCTGGTAGAACCTCGGGTCAGTACCAAACAGGATGAAGCTGCTTTGAGCTACTATGCTGCACACAAATGAAATCAGCTTCCTTGTGACCTCAAATGTGCCCCGGCTCTAATAACCTTTAAATCAAAATTGAAAACCTTCATGTATTCATCAGCGTTTGAATGAATGTTTCTTATGCTGCACCTTCTGCACTGTACCTGCTCAGCCTTTCATTTGGTCTTTTTCTGATTCTTAAATCTGAAATAAAATTGTGTTTAACTCATTCACTTCCAATCACGACTAAAGTCGTCATTTACATTGTTTTACTGTGTGGGCGTCGGAATGAGCCCCCGCACCGTGAGAACAAACATCCCAGCTCTAAAGCTGATCTTCATCCGCATACGTCACACGTCACGTGGTCAGGAAGCAGAAAATCCATGTGTTAGGAGAACGTTTTGGGCCGCTGCTGTAAAAATAAGTGACCCCGGCTTTCCACAGGAACCGTCAGCAGCACGTTACTGCAGCAGCACGTCATAGCTGCTGATAGGAACCGATGTGGTCAACAGAACCTTTTCCACTGGAGCCGTCAGCAGCCGTCAGCAGCGCGAGTCGGCCGCGTCTCAGGAGCAGCATGTCGCGGCCTTTACGCGCCGGTTCTATTTTCTACGCGCGACGCCTCTGAAACGGGTCAAGTTCGAAATTTTTGGGGAAGGAAAGACAGGAAATCGGACGCGGAAATGGAGAGAAGCTCCCGAGATTTTCAGAATAAAGAACGTACTGCCTTCCGGTTGCTTTACTTTTAAAAAACGTTACTAACTGTGCGGCCCCGTGAGAAGTTATCACCTAGCTAGCGGTCTCATTTGTTTTTCAGGTCCGTATTGGCGATTATAAAACGGACAGAACATAAAACACAAACCATGTTGTAGTTTTCTCCTGCTTGTTGTTGTGTTTACTGACAAAGTCACTCGTGTGACTTCGTGCTCTGTCGGTGACAGCTGCTCCCCTGCTGCTTTGCGTCTCGTGGGAAGGGCCAAGCAGCAGCTAGACGTGCTGCTGCAGTAACGTGCTGCTGACGGCTCCTGTGGAAACCCGGGGTGAGGTGCAAACCGGAAAAGCTTCTGCCGATCACAATTCGACAACGGATTATGAAAGAACGGATAACGCTCAAATTCTTTCTGATGTAAGAGGTGAGTCTCCTCTTTGTTGTGGTAGTTTTGACGTCGACGTCATCCTAGCACGTAACGTTCTGTGACTCTTAAAAACAACAGTAAAAAAGGTGAGAAACGCTGACAGCGAAGGGCTTTACTGATCCGGAGACGGCTGGCGGTGAATGAGTTAATGTGGTCAAAATGTATTTTAATGGTGCTGTCACATTGATTTTAATATTCTCGCTAATGGAAAGCACACTGAACTGCCTCAGTGTATGAAATGTGCTTTACAGATAAAGCTGCCTAGCTTTGATGTCTGTTGTTAAACAAAGTGACAGCTGCAAATCAAAATTTAAAAGCTTAAATATCACTAGTGTGTATGTTCCTGTTTGATGTATTATAATTAGCACTCAATTCAAGAATAAACAAGACAATCACCATCATGTTTGTTCATTGCCTGCCATGTACTGTTTGTACCTATTCTTTTGTGTTTTTCACCCACATAATTGCTGATGAGGTCAGGATGGTCCTTTTCAACGCCATCGTCCAAGATGGTCACCACTACTCCTTTTCCTGTGTAGCCTAGTGCCCAGGCCGCTTTGGTATTCAGATCTTGATGAGTTGGATTGGACTGCAAAAAATGAAAAGATAAATGATCTTTTATTCAGGAGTTGATCTGCTTTGATGAAGACTTCCTGGACAAACTGATGGGAAATGGTCAGTCAGTAAAAAAAAAACAAAACTGTTAAATCACCTCTAAATACTTTTTACTCTACTTTAATCAATATGTCAAAAGGAACAACCAAAGCATTTTCATGTTCAGTTAGGACTCTAATGGCGGATTTATTAGGATTTCATCATGTATTTAAAAATGTTTCAATGTGTGTGCTAACTAAAAAAACCTTCTCAGCTTTCTGCCACAATCAACCTCATGCAAATGATTTGTGTGACCTCCAAGACCTCACTTGTGCTCGTGCTCCTCACTTTGTCAGAAGCACTTACCACAGAGTGAGTAAAGCTAATTGTTGCTACTTGCTGCTGATTTCATGTCTTTGTGGAAAGCTTCGTGAAACTTGGTATTCATCAAGCACTGCAAACTTGTTGAGTGGGCATGAGGTTTGTGCTCACTGTCACCAGCTCTGGCAGATAACTCGATGGCTTATTTATTCATATCTTTAGCTCTGTTTTTTCATACTAGCTTTGACAGATAGAAAGCAGGGAGTCATCTTGTCACTTTGTGTATTTTAAAACAGGTCTTAGGCTTAGACCTCAGATTAAATCCCACATTTTTTCCATGCACTTTAGTGATCGAGATTCTCGAAACCATCTGTTTGAGCTAACTGATTTGACAGATAAGAATATTTCTTTCACGCTCTTTTTCTTAGTTTGATCATTGCAAAGCTGGTTGGGGACCTTCGTGCACTATCTGTACACCCCACTTGCACTCACTTAATGCCTGACGGCTCTAAGGTTTCTTCACACAGAAGTGAAACATACTTCTCTAAGGTTTTCTTATCAGACAACAGCTCTGTGGGGATTCAGCTCTCAAGTTTCTATCATCTTTCCCTGGTGTTCGAAAAGAGAAGGTTGCATTCTCTAAGCCTGACTCATGCATTGCACATACGCTGAACAAGCACTGTGCACTTACGTGATCATCGTTCATTTGAATTGCCAATCCAGCTAGGGACAAAATAATGTCTTAGGCTGAGGTTGGGGCTATCGTGTGTGATTGTTCAGACTATCTCTCTTGCTTAAAGCAACAGGATAGCAAGGACGTTCTCTTGCTATATGGCTTGAGAGCTCATTCAATCAAGAGTGGCCCAGTGTTTTGGGCTCTTTGGACAAGGGAGCCTCTTCCGTGGTTAATCTTGAAGTTTCTGCTAGAACTGCGTCACGCTCGCACACTGGAGTTTACGACTCTGATGCTATTTTGTCTTCTTATATGTCTAAAATAAAATAAGTTATTTTTGTAAAAGAAACCAGAGTTGTTCAGTGGAGGGGCACGGCCTACATGTGGCTGTTCTAATGAGTCTCGCAGCTCGGTGCAGGGCAGCCTGAGAACTGCCTTGGATAATACATTGTATTTAAGAGGAGGTTGCTATTTATTTTTGGTATAACACAATATTTACCTAAATGTTTCCATTCAGTGTACATATGGCCAAGATAAACCCACACTTTCTACGTTGGATCTCAGTCAGGGAATTAGTTATTTATCTAACATTATGTGTCAGTGAATTGCCCTGATATATTTGCTGCCTCTGGCTAAGCTGCTAAGAAGCATGCTCCTGTATTTAGGTGAGGAATCTTGCTCTGAACATTTATCTGCAATACAAATAGCATTTTGAGAGCAGAGGAGGGACAGGGACATGGAAAGATACAGACCAACAGTAAAATGTTGTTCTATGAGTGTGTAGCATACAGAATGGCCAAGTTTTTCATCAAAAATGACCAGAAGTTAACTTTTAACATACAGGCCAAACTTCTTCACTCAGGTCAATCTGACACCGTGGTGCCGAAATGAACTTGAGCCAATATTCTTAACTAATGACTTCATACGTCATGAGTCCTCAAGGCTGCAAGACACAGGAATTCTTATCTTTTACTCTCTGAATAAAGTCCATCTTCCCTGACATAAATAACTTTAAAACTTTATATAATCATACTTTGTTGAATGAACAATTTTTAAAAAATCCATAGTGTTTGATTAATGTGTCCATTACTTTACATTAACGAACAATGAGTTAAATAGAATGTTTTTCCTCTAATGATTCATTTCAGATCTTAAATTACACCAGATTAGGATTTGTTGTTGATTTAAAGAATTTAATCCATCAGTATATTCACACCTCATTATATTATTATTAATGTTTAACATTTTCACTTCACACTAAGAAATAAACTCTCTAAGTATCTGAGGGAAGGAGGGATCTTCTGAAGTATTTTGGTAACGCCTTTTAAACTTGTCAATTTCTGATTAGTCTAAATTTGTCAACAACAGTTAATAAAAACAGAGGTCACTTCCTGATCTAGTCAGTTTGCTCCGGGTGAGCAAGCATCATCTCTTTGACCTCAAGGTCAAATGCCTCTCAGCAACGCTTGCGAGTGGTTTCAGACGCTACAGCACCTCAGACGTGGAGTGTCTAACTTGCAGACCCTGGTAGTATCTTCTGGCCAGTGATGTTTGAACTCAAAAGGGAGCGACGGCTCTGAGATCCTGGGAGCCAACCGGCGACATAACCAATCTGGCTGCCTCAAGAGCTGTCGTCACACAAGGGTATCGCAGAATCTGCACGACGGTGTCGGATGGTTTTATGAATAATCTATAGCTTATTAAACCGTGCAGTCAAACTGATTTTACAACCCAGCCATCACAAGATCTCTCAGATACTTAATAAGGTTTGCTACATAAATTTCTAGTTTACATTTCATCATTTCACTCATCATTTGTTATCTTGTACCATAATTTCATTCATACTTTGTCATGTATAATCATTAGTTTAGAAAGATAGAATTAGATTCATTTTTATAAACTATAAGTGTGTGTTCCCTGAACAGTTCAAAGATCCTACAGTAATATTAAATAAAACATTCAAAGACCAATCAGAATGATCATTTCATATTTATATGGAATATCACATCTTATTGATCAATTAATAAATGTAGCTAAACTGTATCGCTACAAGTGATACGGAAACAAATCATCACTATGCAGGGATGGCTGAAAGACAGAAATGCATAGACCACATTATTAAGACTCACTGATCAGTCTCATGCTACATGTGCATTAATAAAAGGATGATTTTAAACAAAACCTTTTTTGCACACATCAAATATATTGTGGACATCAAATTCCACCATCACGGACATCATATTTAAAATTAAACCCAATTAGATGCATTTTCCTCATTTAATAATAAGCATACATATTGACATAAGCTACTATTTTATTAGGTACCCCTGTTCAATCAATTGTTATCAGTGTTGGGCAAGTTACTTCAAAACTGTAATACATTATGTATTACTTGTTACCCTCATTTTAAAGTAATTCATTACATTACAATATTACTGATTTTAAAATGTAAGGCATTACACTACTTTTGCATTACTCTAAGTTACTTTAAACAAAACAACTTCAGTATGAGTTTGGTAATCTGATGCCTGGTGAACTCGTGACACATCCGGTGGAAGGTGATGTGGTGTCTGAGCTAGGAATGCTGTTAAAAACAGTTCTTTAGAAGGATTGTTTATGTAATAAAAGCAACAACAAACTGTACTCTCAGCACGCTGCCATCTTAGATTAACTGAGCGGCGAGTGAGGTGGTGGGGGCTCCAAGCCTATATTTGCCTTGGTCCCCAAATGCCTTGATACGGCCCTGGATGTGGGACTGACTTCTGGTGTGATCTGATTCTATCACATGTATAAATATTAAATGCTTTTATATTATTGCTTTTCACTGGTAAAAATGAGTATTGGGGATAAATCTACCTACATTTTTTTCTTTTCAAGCACTTTGTTTTGTTTTCTTGATTTTATTTGAATAATTTCCTGCCCTTTGTCTCTAACCGTCCTGCATGCTGCATGTTCTCTCCATCTTCCAGAAAACCCGTTTCCTAGATTTCCTACTTTCTAACTATCAGCCAAAGGGATCTTCACATGAGCGGCACTCCAGCAGCAATGAGTTGAAATCACCGGAGCCCAGATTAACTCAGCTGAGGCAAAGCACGTCAGAAAAGTACAGAATACCAGAGAACATGCGCTGATATGAACGATCGCAGGTGAATTATTTTGTTTTAGTGGAGCGATTTTGTGAATGTTGCAGCGGCCGCGCGCAGGATGCAGCTGGAGTATTTGAGCCGGTACCACTGCGTCCTCTCTGCCTGCAAAGCTGAGTCCATAAATGACGTAATATATGCAGATACTGGAACTTTCTTCGGGTTTCCCGCAATTTGAATTTTTAAGAAACGCAGCTTGATTCTGGGTTTAAAAATGTGTTGTAATTACCGCGTTACTGACAATTGTACCGAGTAAATATTACCATTTTCTTTCCCTGTAATGCCTTACATTACCACATTACAGCAAAAAGCAATGCATTACAGCAGTTAATTACTTTTGTACCGCGTTACTCCCAACACTGATTGTTATCATGATAAATGATAAATGACCCACACTTGTTTAGCACCTTTCAAAGTCAGAAGACTCTTAAGCACTACACTACAGCGTATCATTCATCCATTCGCACCTTCACTCTCTGGAGGTGATGAGCTACAATGTAGCCACAGATGCCCTGAGGCGGACTGACAGAGGCGAGGCTGCTGTACACAGGCGCCATCAGTCCCTCCTACCACCACCAGCAAGCAATGAGGGTTAAGTGCCTTGCCCAAGGACACAACAGCAGAATTCTGAATGCCGGGAGCCGGGAGCGATCCTACAACCTTCCGATTACTGGACAACCCACCTTAGCTCCTGTGCTGCTTCCCATCACATGGCTCAAACTCATTACATTTAGGGCATCTAGATGAGGTGAAGATGACTTGCTGAAGTTCTAACTGAGAATCAACAAGAGGAAAAGAAAAGGGGATTTAAGCGGCTTTGAATGTGGTAAAGTTGTTTGAAGCAGACGAGCAGGCCTGAGGATTCCTGGTAGCTGTTGGTCTACTGGGATCTTCACCTGCAACCACCTCTGGGATTCACAGAGAATGGTCCAAAAAAAGAGAAAATATCCACGGAGGAGCTGTTGCATGGACAAAATACCTTGCTGATATCAGAGGGGAAGAGGAGGGTGGGTGGACTGGTGCTAAATGATAGAAATGCAACAGTTGCTCATTTTTCCACCGGGTCTCACCAAGGTCTGCAGAATGCCACCATGTAATCACATTTAAGGCTTTGCATGGGTTAGCGCCAGACTATATTTCAGGGTTTTTAACTTGTTATGTACCAGCTCATCCCCTCAGATCCTTGAATCAACGACCTCTGGTCGTCCATGGAGTGAAATATAAAACTAGAGGTGATCGGCGATCGGGCTTTCCCGGTCGTGGCTCCCACTTTATGGAATGTGTTATCCCAACCTCTACATTTTATGAAACAATTGAAAACAACCCTATATTTACAGGCTTTTAAGTAGCATTGCAAAAGACTGTAAAACATTATAGAGCAGCCAGTGAGAGTATTTTCAAAGCTGACTTTGGTAAATGCAAGAAGGTTGAATTTAGAGATTTAAAATCAAATGCACTACACTATATGAGTAATTAATAGGGTATGCTGATGATGCACTTGAATTTCTTTGTCAATAATAGCTCAGTAGGTTCACATCCACATAAATACATGTATGCTTCTGTGAAATACCTCATTTAGAATTGTATTTTAAAACACATCAGGCCTTATGAGTTGCAACAGACATTTAAATTATAGAGATGAGAAACAATTACACACCAGGTACCACTGCTTGGGAAAGTCTGGGTCTGTGGGGTCTTCAAAGACGTCCCTCTTCTTTCTTTTCTTTACCACTTGCTGTTCCGCCCACAAGACCTGGAATGCCCAGACACACACAAACACAGCACAAAAATAAATAAACCCACGCACAAAGAAAAATTCACAGTTTACATGCGTATCCTCACATGGTATTGTGTCGTTGCTAATGTTTATTTCAGAAATGGCTGCTGTGCCCAACAGACTGGAGACGCGGAAAAACACAGTCCCAGCTGTGTTCAAAACGCAATGACTAGAAAGAAAAGCAGAGATGTCGAGAAATCTAATTTATTTCGCTGCTCAGAACAGAAGGAAAGTGTCTGCTGCACTGTTTGGTGCTCCTGGCTTTTGAAGTTCTGCTGGCTTCTGGGATGTGCACAGGTTTAGGGTAATAAGCAATGCTAATATGACTCACAGTGAATGTTGTTTGTAGATTTTACTGTAGAAATTGCCCAAAAAAGCTCAACACATTGATGCAAACACAGTTTTCTACTTGTATGTGCAGAATTTGATGGATATTTCTTTACAAAAATGAATGACACAGAAAAAATGCTTAGAGATGCCCTGAGAATATAAAGTGTTATGCATTTTAATGACATTCTAGCACGTCATTTACAAGCTGGAAGAAAGAAAACTGAAAGAAAAATTTTCAAACTCCTATTGGAATAACTCCGCCTGTGGTCAAAACACATCAACAAAACTGAAATTCCCCAGACGAAGAAGGAAATTATTGACAGCCTTTTATATTTATTTAATTCAAAAGCAATTACTTCATATAATTAATAAGAAGAATTTGTTTTATGATCCAATAACATAAAAACATTTAAAATAAATGTGTTTGTGATCCAATACTGAACTGAGTCTATCAGGAAGCCATATATGGCTTTTCTATAGAAAACAATGTAACCTGATTCAAATCACCTTTAAAGATGGAAAAATAATAGAGCAATAATAATAATACTGAAACTCTTGATTGTTTTACTTTGATGTAGTTACTTATCTAAGGTGTAAAGTTTTTTGTTTTGTTTGCTTGTTTGTTTTGTTTTATCAAAAATATCTTTGTTAAAAGGGCTGGCATAATTAGCAAATGCTTCAGCCAGCCAATACATTTTGATTAGCCTTGTTTCGTGTTTCTTATTTTGTGGTAATATTTATTCTGTATTCAAAATAAATAAATAAATAAATACGTAAATAAAAAAAATAAAAAACATAATGGAGTAGGAGTGACACCCTGTGGTCAAACTTGGTTACTGCAGTTCAATTTTCTAAACAAATGATAAATGACCCGCACTTGTATAGCGCCTCTCAGAGTAAGGACTCCAAAGCGCTTTACACTACAGTGTATCATTCATCCATTCACACACACATTCAAACACTGGTGGGGATGAGAGGCGAGGCTGCCGAGCACAGGCGCCACCAGACCCTCCGACCACCACCAGCAGGCAAGGTGGGTTAAGTGGTTTGCCCAAGGACACAACAGCAAAATTCTCTGTCCGGAGCCGGGATCGAACCTGCAACCTTCCGATTACTGGACAACCCGCTCAACCTGTTGAGCTACTGGCGCCCCAACAAGTCACTCTCTCACTCCCGGTTTCATGGCTGTTGCCAGTTATGGATTAGCACCACAAGATTCTTGTCTTATCTGGTGCTAGCAGTCTTGAGTGTTTTACAGTAGGGAGCTCTTACAACACCTATTATGGTAGTTAGCCTCCAGCATTAGAGGGAGTGCAATTTTCCATCTTGCTGTTACATTTTACTTCAGAACTATAACAGAAAGCTAACATTTGACTCATTATTCAATTCACTCATACACGTCACTGTAATATCCAGTTGTTGGTAATTGAAAAAGTAGCTTGAGATATTTTTAGAGCCAACTATTTGCTTCTAATTCACTGTTAGCTCAGTGTTATGTCAACGTTAGCCTTTAGCCTGCTTTACTCGGTATTACAGCAAAACAAAAGAATGCAGTGGCTTCTTAGGGTACAAGAAATAACTTCGGAGTCACTCCTGTTTACTGGGCTTGGTTCTTTAAAGAACTCTGGAGCTTTGTGCTTGCCGGTGTGGAGTAACAAATCCTGCAGCATTAGCCTGGAGCAGACTCTGTAACCTCATGGGCTTACAGATTGTAAACATTGGCTATGACCCTCTTTGACTACTTTGAAAGGAGAAAAACTGACAGCCCCTATCCAGCTGGTTAGGAAATCTGTTTCAAAATGACTTTTCTTGCAACACGATTGAGACATTAGACAGTTTTGTGTTTATTTCACTGTAGAAATCCTACATATTGCCCCTTTGACGAAGCTGAATAGGGAACTGTGCTCTAAATAACCAAGAAGTGGCTAAACCAATTCTAGTGGACTAACACACATAACAGTAGTTACAGTAGAATTTGCATATTAGTGGATACAGTTAACCTAAAACTGACATACCTAACACCCTCTGTGCAAGATTTAGTTTGTATTTTTGTACTGTTAACTAGTTTGGCACTCCAAACTCAAGGGAAGCACATCTCAGCTGGTGAATTGCCTTTAAAATGCCCTTCCAGCATCCAGAGTAAAAGTTGTAATTCAAGCACTTTGGCTGTGTGAAATATATATTTTAACTTTCTTTTTCAATTTTCTTGTTGCATTTGCTGTTGTTGGCAGAGGCGTAGCTTCTATTCATGCTTGATTTTAAGATCAAAAACAAAATGAAGGGTTTGGGTCTAGAAGTTATATGTGCAGCTAGAGAAAGTGTAGCTTCAACCTAAAAAAACTTGATTTAAACGACCATGGACTAATTATTTTGAATATAATTTCATTTGATTTATTCTGCGCATAATAGAAATTGCTACACTGCTGCGAAAAGCTCATTAAGAGAGTAAATAAACACTGGCATTATTACTTTTATAAAAATAGCAATAACTAAATTATATTTATTGTTGTAATTACTGCAAATTGTATGTTGCTCAATATTTCAGCAAAATAATTTCATGTCATTCTGTCCTCAAGACCAAGTGATCCTCCATCCTTAAAGTAGTAAGAACCATCCAGAGTCCTAGGACAAGGGCACTTGACATACAAGCCAAAGAAGCAATCATAAAACTAGAGGGAGGTCTCTACATGGGTTAGACCTGCAATCTGCGTGGGCAATAAATTATTTGTTTCATGTTTTGCACAGTGTCCTGTGGAGGTTTCCTGCCTGATTACCAAGGAGAACCCATGCTGGTCTTGTTCGTAATACAAGCAGAGCAGAACAAAACTGATCCAGTGCTTTGACTGATAACTATGCTTCATAGTTTTATGTTTTAATAGTAATATACACATCTTAGGATGTCCAATATCGGCCCACCGTTATTATTGGATGGTACTGGCATTAAAAAGTAACATCAGACATTATCAGTATCGGTTTTTACTTTCTTAATGAAACAGCCTTTACTCACCATGCACATATTGTGCACCAAACCTTTCAGCTACTTCTCCTTTCACTCAAGATGCCAAAATATGATAGATCTGAGGTAAAGTTTTAGTGGTTTTGTTGAAAAACTTGTCACATATTGCATGGATCATTTTAAAATTTAAGTATGCATGATAGCAGATGTGATGTTAGTTAACTAAATGGTGTCATTCCATCCATTTTCAGTCGCTTATGCAGAGTTAGGTTGTGGGGGCACAGCCTAAGCAGAGGGGCCCAGACTTCCCTCTCTCGAGCTACTTGGGCCAGCTCCTCCAGGTGAATCCTAAGGTGATCCTGGCCAGCCGAGACACACAGCCACTCCAGCGTATTCCGGGTCTTCCTTAGAGTCTCCTCCTGGTTGGACGTGCCCAGAAAACCTCACCAGAGAGGCGTCCAGGAGGCATTCTAACTACATGCTCAAGCCACCACAACTATCTCCTCTCGATGTTAAGGAGCAGCAGATTTACTTTGAGCTCCTCCCAGATGACAAAGATTCTCACCCTATCTCTAAGGGAGAGCCCAGACACCCTGTGGAGGAAACTCATTTTGGCCGTTTGTATCCATGATCTCATTCTTTTGATCACTACCCAAAGCTCGTGACCATAGCTGAGGGTTGGAACATAGATCAACCGGTTAATGAAGAGCTTTGCCTTATGGCTCAACGACAGACCAGTACAACGCCCGCACCACAGCAGACACAGCACCAATCCACCTCTCCATCTCAGGCTCCATCTTTCCCTCACTCGTGAACAAGACTCCGACATATTTTATGTATTTAATTTTATGAGGAATGACCCCGCTTGTATTGGTTTAAATGAATATCTGAAATGGAGTTAGACTATGTCAGTATATCAGATACAATTTAGAACATCCCTATATACATCCATTCATTCACTTTGCCTATACATGATATATTTTATATATTACCAGATATACAAGCACAATTTAACACCTATTAACTAAATAGCGCCAGTCTTAATCACACATCTTAGATGACTTCAATCAGTTATCAGCTTTTATTTTTGTTTCAGACATCATTGATTTCTTTCTTTGAATTGGATTGTAGGACCATCTTCTGGGAACATTTCAACTCTCCTATGATTGTATTCCTCTGTATATCATTAGACTGATGACAAAGGGTTGTCAAGATGTTTGGTGATTGCTGTCAAGTACATAAATGTTTTTTTAAGAACACACATTTTTTTAAAGCTCTATAAAACCTCTCTAACCTCGACCATTATGGAAACCAACTGGACAAAATTTGTATTTTTTACGGAAGTTAAACCACCCGTGATTGGTTGGTTACCTTTTCTCGGCTTACCACTCAAAATCAAAACAAGATGAGTCCAATTTCATTTTTGTTTTCTTTGTGAAACCAATTTAAAATCATTTAGAGAGAAAGAAAGGAACTGATTTTGTTGTACAGCCTTCATGCTGAGTCTCATTTCATTTCACACCAAAGAACAAGCGTTTCTGTTGGTCACCAACTTTGAACATACTTCAACAATATTGCTCTAATCGCAGCTCAGAGGCACCGATAACTGTGACCAAGAAGCTATTTTCTCCACTTCTTCCAGTGATTCTAATTTAAGCATTTACTTCAATCGTAACCAGTGGATTTAGGA